GTTCAAATGAAAATGAATCAATAAAGTTAGTCAAACTAAGCATAAGTAATAAAGAAAACAGCAATATTTTTCAAGTTCTCTATAAAATTACTAAATTACATATCTTCTCCATTGATGAAAAAAATGGATCTGTCAAGGTTGGAATGCATGTTTTACAATATTACTTGTAATCACATGTAAATATTAGAAAAGTCAAATGTGATACATGTATTTCAATGCCATTCCAATAATTGATGAAAAAAATCAGAAGCCTAAGGTCACAATAATTAAAATGTTGTCATGTTGAAATTCTACATGTCTGGTTAACAGGACTAAGGGAAATAACTCTAAGTACAAAAGCTGGAAAGCAGTAGAAAATGAGTTGCAAAGAGTCACCCTGCTGAAACTACAAAGAGCAAAAAAGGGAAAACATAAACCTTTGTGTAGCTACAATATAGAAATAGCAAAACTACAAATTGATCACCCCGCAGTTCAAGGGAAGGAATCCAGATGACCACATATATTACCGACATGAGATGTCAAGACAGAAAATGCCCTCCTTTCACATGAACACCACTAAATGCACTTTTAAGAGCCAAATAAATCACTCGAAAAGATACCAGACGTGCTAAGTCGAAGAAACTAGATAATAATTAACACCAGGTCACCATCCTACACTTCCATAATGTACAATGTACGCATATATAGCAAACTAAATAAACACACAGTCACATGTACATGCAAAATACATACATAAATTTATGTATACATACAAACATCATCATAAGAGCAATTTGATACATTTTCTTAACTTACATTCCTCCTTTGGCCATGTCAACGGTACAGTGATTTACTAATTTCTATCCTCTCTAACCCCCCATGTCTAAAAAGGACCCAAATCACCTCTAACCCTAATTCACCAGAAAAATAATTCAATTTTTTTCTAAATTTTCTCTCGAATGTCTTCAATATTCAAATTAATAGTTAAAAATAACTTTTCATAACTTTTGGTTCACTTTACATTTTAAAAATTTGAATCTCTATAGGGAGAGAGTACCAATTAATTTCCCATAGAACTCTGCACATACCTTACACCCTCCCAGTAATTTAACTAATTCCCTTTCTTATAAATCTCTGATAATATTTGAAAGTTCGTTCTAAGCACTTACTAAAAACACGGAAAAAATATACTTGCCGTGGCGTTTATAGGTCAAATTTGCAGTTATTTAGAATTGACCTCCATCGGCAGTAAATGACACCCTGCCAAAAATATCAATCCCCCTCCTACAATCTCCCCTGGTATTTTTATATTTTCTCTAATATTCCTATATCCATCTTTTACTTCAAACAATATTTTTACTTTGAAATGAAAACATTAACGTACCTGAATTCAGCCAATCAGGTACACCCTACCCATTTAGTACTCTGCTTCATCTTGTTCAACCAGGAAATGGTGTAAACTTCCGGTGAATTGGTATTACAATCTGTCAACGAAATGCCAAGATTTTTGACAAAACTTACTTTCACATATTGCATCATAAATTATGAATGTAAAACTTCTATATTCGTCTTTAACATGTTAAATAAAAGTTTATTTATGAGAATTAGAATCAGATATCGCTTTTTCACCTAAGGGAATATTTCTCGGCAGGATATTACGAACGTGAAAAATTTTTTTAATGCATTGCCGATAAACATCAACATGATTTACTTTTCACAGACAAACAACTTGCAGTATTAACACATACAAAGAAATGTGTGTTAATCTTCTTGTGGACAATTTTAATCAACATTTGAAAAAAAAATCACGTCCCTCCGCTTCCGTACTACTTTTTAGACGTTGACAGATGTATAAGTGGAACGATAACTCTGGGTAGAGATTGTCTTTTTCTATATGATGCACGATTTTCTGCTACCGGAACTGATTTGAGAAATCTAACTAACGATAGAATTGATGGAGTTCAAAATTCCGGAAAAGTTCACTACATCTTCCGGTAATGGTATGGAAATCATTTCCCTTAATTCCAAAGTTAAGATGTCTTAACTTTTTAGATACAAAATGATATCCTATATTTAATGTTTCCCCTAGAATAGGATAACCGTTGCGTTTCGGTATAATAGTAAAAAAGAGAAAAATCAATAAACTCAGTTTAGGGAAACATAATAAGAAATCAAGTAAAACCAAAATGTTCCCCAAATTCGTCTGAGGAGCATAAAAGGTACTCCTGTAATGGAATCTAAAACAATAGGTCCAAGGGTCATATCGCCTACCTTAGCACATCGGCTAGGAAAACGCACAAATCAGATCAGAATTGAAAAGGGGGTAGGGGAAGGGGGCTTGAATTCTAATACTACTTGAGAATGCCTCCATTGAGAATACAGCACATAACTTCTTATTAAAGAAAGTTCCTGAGAAAAAGATTCCTATAAATTTTTTAAATATTTTATTTGTATAAATTACTTTGCAGTGATTTAAATTTGACTCCCATTCATTCCCCTCACTACCCCAAAGGGTACTCATGATCTCAACAAATTTAAACCTTCAATACATGAGGATGCTTACAAATCAATATGACTTAACTTATATCGGTAGCTTTTCTGTTATTGAGAATTTCCCTTTATTTTCCTTTGTAAAACTTTGATCTACCATTGAGACCCTTCCGTACCCTTGGAGGTTATGAGTTGAACAAAATTAATTCTTCACTACCTGAGGACGCTTCCATATAAATATCACTAAGCATGGCTTTGCTATTATTTAGAAAAAAAGATTTTTCAGAATATATTTTAATATAAAAATTGGATCCCTCATTGTGGCCCCACCCTATCCCTGGGGGTCATGATTTGAACAAACTTAAATTTACACTACCTGAGGATGCTTCCACATGAGTTTCATCTTTTATGACTCAATGGTTCTTGAGAAGAAGATTTTTAAAGATTTTCCCTTTATACTCCTATGTAAAACTTTGATCGGTCACTGTGATCCCTACTTACCCCCGGGGTGATGATTTGAACAAACTTGAATGTACACTATCTGAGGATGACTCAATATGAGTTTCATATTTCCTGTACTAATGGTTCTTGAGAAGATTTTTAAAGATTTTTCCTATATATTCCTATGTAAAACTTTGATTGGCCATTGAAGCCCCGCCCTACCCCCGGGGGCCATGATTAGAACAAACTTGAATGTACACTACGTGAGGATAATTCAACGAAAGTTTTATCTTTCATGTCCCAATGGTTCCTGAGAAGATTTTTAAAGATTTTTCCTATATATTCCTATGTAAGACTTTGATCGGCCATTTTGGCACCACCCTTGCCCAGGGGTCATGATTTGAACAAACTTGAATCTACACTACCTGAGGACGTTCCACATGAGTTTCATCTTTCCTGGCCAAGTGGTTCTTGAGAAGAAATTTATTTTAAAATTCCATTAATTTTTCACTAATTTATAATTATCTTCCTTTGGAAGAGGATGTGTCCCCTCATTTGAACAAACTTGAATTCTCTTTACCCATGAGATACTTTGTGGCAATCTTGGTTGAAATTGGTCCGGTGGTTCTTGAGAAGAAGATAAAATGTGAAAATTTACAACGACGACTACAACGACGACAGACAACGGACAAATTTTGATCAGAAAAGGTTACGTGAGCCTTCAGCTAAGGTGAGCTTAAAAGGAAAACCTGAGAGAGTAATGCACTTCCCTGAAGGAATGATTCACAGGTTTGTTTTGAAAATAAACTTTGACTCAAATTTCGCATGTCATTGAGTGAATTCGTCTCTTTTGACAAAACACTTTTGTTTACATTAACAAATTATGTAATAGAATGAATTTCTCATATGTTTACCTTCACTGTGCGACCAGCAAGTCGCTAACCTCTGACACGGAGTTTTCTTAAATTTTAAAATTCCAGACTGGCATTGAATTCTTTGAGGAGAAGTTTTAATTTAAAATGCCAACTGCACTTACCAAAATGATTTTGTGAATTGATACTTTGTTTTCCTTTTGCTGTATGTTGCACTTAACATGACATTTTAAAGTGATACATGTATTGCATTTTTAAAAATATTTCATAAAGGAAGGGTTTAACTCTGAGTTAATGTGTCGTTTATGTTTTGCACTGTAATGCATTTTTAATGCTGAACATGAATGCGTCCACCATTTTTGTTCGCATTCTTGCTATATCTGCAGACCCAGATAATTATACGTTCAAAGGACAGGACTTAGTAACTGTGTAATCAGTCGACGCCGATGCAGAAGGATGTATGCTGCACAGCACTCGATAGCAAAAATAATAGCATAGTAATTTGTCTAGTGCAGGGCAGTAAGTTACCAAAGAAACTTACAATTATAATTGTACAGGTCGGTGCAGTTTACAAACAAACGCAGATACACGTAACTGCAATAAAATGTAAACAAAAACATATTGAAAGATGAACAGCATGAACACGGGTGGCCCTTCCACGCCGATACCCGTGACAATTAAGCAGTCAGGTGTTATGAATGCGAAGAGTATACCTTGGTGTTGATGTATCGTAGATAATGATATTAAAAAATCGGTGATTTTATTTTGAATTTAGATAGCAAATATTACCTTAATGTTTGATTAATCTCGTGTTTTACTTTTCTAGTTCATATACACCATACTTAGTATATAGCTTTTTAACTCTTTTTGAAAACTTTTTATACGGCCCCTTATTTATCGAAGTACAGAGTACGAGTCCGAGCTCGTGGCGCTTTTAGCTGGAAATGTCTAATAGGAACTATAAGACAAATCATTCATACCATGGTTTTCTTTGATGCAAAAGAACTCCATTGCTTTATGCGTGTTTTTATCGGTCCCATCACTGTGACAAATTTTGCCTCGCCCCTAACTATTTGCATATGAAAGATTTCATTATGCTGGTCTCAACTATTGCCTAGAATTAAGAATTAAAAGGGTCTTTCTGGAGAATTCTAAATTCTTTGTTGCTGCATTTAAAAGCTGGATGTTTGCCAGGGACACACAGTGCATTCGTTATTTAACGAAATTGTTTTCCCTCATATTATGCCAAAGGACTTAATTAATTCCATTTTTCTGCAAAGAGTTCTCAATACTGGTAAGTTTTTTTTTCAAGTTTTGGTATTTTGTGTTTTAGTAAGTATTTTTGATAATAAAACAAATAGGACTTTATGTAACCCTAGTGATCTGGCTAGACTGCCGCAATAGTTGAAATATAACAAACAATGTATACTGAGTGAGAATTGTCATTTATTTAATGACAATAAGTATATAACACAGGTAAAGTTAAGGGAAGATCACCGGGATATTTCCTGAGTACAAAGAACAATAAATTTGGCAACGGTATCTCCCCTGTTGCAAACAAACATTACTTTGGCAAAAATATTTTGACAAATAAAAAGTATATAAACCACAAAGTTGTCAAAACAAAAAGCTGCCACCAAAAGCAAACTGTTTTCCCATTCTCTCAAATGATATAAGCTATAAAAATCGTTTTTCTTAATTATTTCTATGTCCGAAAAGATAATTGTTTTTTATCGAAACAAATTAAGTATTGAAAAAGTTCACACATGTACCTTTTAAACTGAGGAAATAAAAGTATAAGTCTGACAACTTGGTATTTTTGGTAGTCATTGCTATTCATGAATAACAAAAGTTATTGTTTGTTTTTTATGTAATTTTTTAAAAAAGGTTCTCTGTAGATTCTTTTTCGAACCTTCGTATTAATAAAAAAGGAATAAAAGATTTTTTGAGAGCACCGACAATTAATTTCCTGTCTTGTTCTAAGTTTGTTTGTTTTTTTTCATTTTCACATATTTAGGTAGCTTATTACTAGATCTTTGATAAATCAAACTTTCAAATAGTTGTTAAGGTAATTCCACCCTCGTATGATGTCATAGATATTTGCAAAAACTGTTATTAATTAAAATTTACACCCAATATAACAATATCTTTTGAAAGAATGTTTTTTCAGTAGGTTTGATGATAGATATTGAAAAGTAAAAAAAAAATTTAAAATGTATATATTTATTTTTTAATCAATTTTTCGATCTTTCAAAAATGCTAACTAGGGCAACAAGTATTTTATAAGTAGCAAGTATTTCGGAACTTTCAGCATCAAAGTTATGTATTTGAATCAGTTTTTACATGATTTTTATAATACTGTTGACAAAAAGATGTACAATTTTTAATGTTGACATATACAGCTCAACACTCTTTTTAAACTCAAAAATCAAGGTCACATTGTTATAATGTAAAATTGTGTAACATGACAATAAAATATATTTTTAAAATGATTTATAACTTAATTTTGATCATATTCCATTCCTTTAAACATAATTCACACATAATAATAGGTAGGATTTTTATATACTCTTTGATGATATATTATGAGAGTTTCCAAATGTTTTTTCATGGTTTCTCGTCAAATGCAATCATCTTTATATCCGTTAATTTTAAAGCATACTCTTGCCTTGCCTTTATACAGAAACAGTGCAGTTCATGTAACCTCTGTATTTTCTATACATTTTCTGTACATTTATATGACACAAAGGCGCAAGATGGAAGAAGTATTTCTCATCTGTTTTCAATGTTTTTTGACTGGTTTCAATGTTAAAAGATGGCATTTTTCAGATACCTTCCAACGCAAAATGTGAAATTTTCAAAGTAAATGTAATTTTCTTTACAAAATTTACAATTTACTATGTTGAAGATATTATTATCCTATCCTTTCACATAATTTCTTCATGCATTTTTGTCATTTTTTGGCGCTGCATTTCTACAAAACAAAGAGAAGTATGGAAAATGTGCGAAGAACCTAGAAAAATACTCATCTATAAATAATAAATTTGAACATTTCAATCAAAACGTTTCAAAGAAAGTTCGATTAATTAATTTGTAAATACCTATGGTAGAACCATACACATTTAGCATCACACAATTTATAAAATAATTTCTTTTTAGCTCATTGACATTCAAATCTCTAGATAATGATTGTAGAGAATATGCATCTTAAACGTAAAATATTTAATAATATAACGAGTGTGTCTCGTACTGAAACTCGATAATTTTAAGTTTTATTGCAAGAACAATGTGACTTTAATTTGTGCGAAAATCCATGTGAGCTTAAAAAGTGCGTTGAACTGTACTTCTGTATATACAGTCCCTGAAACGTTCTACTTTCCCATTTTCCCGTTCACTCACCGTTCGTTCACCGTTCGTTCAGCGTGCGTTCACTGTTCGTTCAGCGTGCGTTCACCGTTTGCTCTCCGTTCACAGTTTTGCTTTCACCGTTCACCGTGCGCTCGCGTTCACCGTTCACAAAACGTTCACCGTTCGCTCTTCGTTCCGTTTACTTTGCGTTCACCTTGCGTTCACCGTTTACTTATCGTTCAGTCTTCATTGTCATTCTTTTACTGCTTATTAAGGAAAAATAAGAAGATTTTTTTTTGATACAACAGATATCTGAGAATGGAGGGTCTCTCTCTCTCTCTCTTTCTCGTACATTTCTCTCTCTTCAATAAAAACTATGACAGCACATTACTTATTTGGTTTTCACTCCCCTTTCGCTTTACGTTCGTTCACGGTTCAGGTGGGAAAGTAGAACGTTTCAGGGACTACCGTATAAGTGGAAATTTTAACGGGACGCAAATTTAGCGATTTTTCCTTAATATGTAGTAACTTATTTTTAGCGAGAGGTAATTTTAGCGACTTTAAAATGCTTACTAAAGCAGCTATTACAAATAAAATGCAATTAATTTTTAGCGGTATTCAATTTTAGCGATCTCATGATCCTTGCAAATGTCAAAACTAAATCCTCGCTAAAAATTCTACTTATACGATATAATGTCTCCAGTCTTAAATGATATGGCAATTTATATCTTTTTGCAGTAATTGGTAAATTTAAACTATATCTAATGAAAAAAAAAACACAGTTTAAGTACTTTGAACCATTAAAATTATGAGGATGGAAAAACCTTAATGTGTATTTGATACTTGCGTCACTGGAAATCGGCAGGCATTCATCATACAACAATGACTTCATATTTTTCGATTGGGTTTTATATTACCAGAGATTCGTACGGAAGAAAATTGCCTCGATTCATAAGAGAACGTTTGTCAAAAATGCAATGATAAAATCTGAATAAATAATTTTTTAACAAAATTTTGATAAAAATAATTTAGAATGCTATGTTCTTAATTTTAAAAAAGTGGTCAAACGCTTACTAACTGGGATCGGGTAACAGAGTTCTTCAGTTTAAAAAATTATATTACTACTGTTTTGTAAAAAGACGCGAACAACAAAATAACAATTATTATAATGCATTTTGAACTTTAATATAAGAATTTATTCATAATCGATATCATCTTGCGATTCCCCCCTTAAATATAAGCTACAACATAAATGGAGCCAGTAAAAAGTTTCAAATTTAAACCTTTGCCCAGCACTAAGGACCATTGGAATTGCCAACATATAAAGTAACAAACATCGAAAGTAACACTCGTAGGTTCTCACTTTTTGTGTTGCATGTTGAGTAAAGGAACAGTGACTACCATCTTTCACATCTAAGGTTTGACAAGCAAGTCAGGAACGAGAATCGAACCGAACCTTTCGACCACAAAAAGAACATAACAAATAACTTCAGCAACTAGTCACTGCAAAGAATTCTGTTTCCTTAAAATTTTAAGATTTTAAACTTTTAGTTATCTAAAAAAAAAGTTACCTGTGAGTGTATGATTGTTTAGTACTTTGTCTGAATTAAACTTGCAATAATATTTCTATTGAAAATTAAAAGTAGATTTTTAACGGTTTACGTTTACATTCACACAAAAAATATTAAATCACACCCTAGTACCAACAGACGGCAGAGTTGTTTTTCACTTTGACAGTGACCTAATTGATAAAATATTTTTTGACTATTTACAACATTCATTTACTTTAGTTTGGTGGTTTTCTTGTTTTGATCTTACCTTCACTTTTTTGTTGAAAATAAAGCTATGATTTATTATTTAATCAAAACAAGAACAGAAGAAAGTTCATTTTTAATTGTTGTTGAAGAAAAATTGGTCTAAGAAGGATTTGGAGATGTCAAAAAGTATTCAATATCAAAGTCCATAAAACAGTATAATTTGAAAAAAAAAGAGCAGGGCAAACAAAGTCTTCAGTATACATTGCTGCAAACATTGCTGCAAATTTGCTGCAACAAAGTTAAATTAAAGAAACCCTGCAATCTTCAAAAACCTTTGTTTCGACAAGCTTACAGCAAAAGAGGTTTACTGCTAACCTGCAGCAAATATTATACATTTATTGCATGATAGTGGGGAAATATAAAGACTTATTCAGCCAATAAAAATCATATTTCCCGAGGGCCTTGCCCGAGGGGAACATTATATTTCTTGGCTGAATAAGTCTTCATGTTTCCCGAACATTCTTGCAATGAATTGTTTATTATACCGAAAAAAGCAAAACCTTTGAAATAAACATAAACTTTCAAATTCGGCACCGCTCTCAAATTCACTTTCATTTTTACGTAAAGTTACTATAAAACCCTTTGGTCAACACATTATCATCAGTTTTGTGACGTAAACCAGGCTATTGTGACGTCTACATCTCTCGGGAGTTTTCGTTCAACGAACGAGAACTATATTGCGGGAAAATACACTAGGTGTTCCGAAGAGGTGGAATATGATGAAAAGCGTGCCGACGGCCGGGAAATATGAAGTTTTACGGTCCGATCACGTAATAACCTAAAACCAATCAGATAACGCGTTGTTTAGAATATTTATAATGAGGTATAGTAATAAATTTTCTTATTAACGATATAAAGACACTAGTAATCTACAGTGTTTAAAGACAAAACTCTACTAAGCTATAAAAATTGGAGCTCTTAAACATTAGAGGTGTGCACAGGTCCCATGCATGAAATACTGAGCATCCCCTGCCAACAAACACCAGCGGTTTGCTCCAGGTCATGATCGAAAAAATAAAAAAGGAAAATGCCGTCGACAATTCAGTGTGTAAATAATGGCATAACAATAACAATTGAAAAAAAATCATTCAGCATTTGAATCAATATCATAAATTTTATTCGCTGACAA